AGCGTGAGCGGCGGCGCCAGCGTCACCGGGCTGACCCTGGCCAATGGGGCAGGTGCCTCCAACGGCGCCGGACTGCCGGCCAGCAGTCCGTACACCACGGACTTCAGCTCCCCCTCGACGGCCTCGCCCTTCGTCGCCGCAGCAGCGGCCGTCGCCGCCGGCCGGGCTCCCAGCTATCCCGGTTACTTTCCCGGAGTAGCTGGCCTGGGAAATGGTGAGTTCATCTATTCTAAAAAAACATGTCAATTTAGGGACCAGTTTAGGTGCGCCTTACAGCAGAATCTTTACTTAATATTTAATGAATTGTTAAAAGTGAAAATTAAATATTGGAAAGGCTAAAAAACGAATTTTTATCAGACATGTCAAAACTCTTCAAAGTTAAAATCTGATTCTTATCTTTCTAAAGTTCACTTATACTTGAATTGTTCAAGGCTTGAATTGTTCAAGGCTTATTTTGGATTGAATTGTTCAAGGCTTATTTTGGCTTACTTCTCTCAAAATTTAAGTTCCCTAAATGAAATCTTATGTTGATAATGGCTTTAACTTTGGTGAGGGCATCATTTTTTAGAAACTTGTATCTTACTGCTAGCAGTACTTTTCCAAATGCCTTTTTCTATATATAATGTTTATTTTTAATTATAGCATTTTATTTTGAAATCCTATAGTTGTCTGAATCTTATCGCAATACGTCTATAAGCTAAACTTTTAAATTATCAGGCGCACTTTTATTAAAGATATAATAATGAAAGTTGTACAGAACGTAAATTAGTAATTAAAAGTCATGTCAGCATCAGTAACTAAAAATATTGTTTTTCGACTTATACTACTCTTATAGTAAATGGCTATTAAAATATAGATCATTCGATAAAGCGGTTCTGATATCTACTTTTCTGCAAAGTTGAACCGAAATATGAAAAATACATTCAAAAAAATTGTTTTTTCTTTTATTCTTTAAATAAAATCTAAATCGTATTGTCCAAATCTAAATCGCTTCTTCTCCTTTCCAGTCACGCCCACCGATCTCTCGATGAAGCCGACCAGCCTGTCCAGCGGCCTCGGCGGCAACATGGTCAGCAACAACAACAGCAACAGCTCCGTGGCCGGCAACATTAGCTCGCAGCTGAGTGCCGCCAACTTGGCCACCCTGAGCAATGCGAACAACAACAACGCATTGGTCACCGCCACCCAGCAGTTGCAGCAACTCCAGCAGCAGCAGCAACAACAGCAGCAACAGCAGCAGCAGCAACAACAGCAGCAGCAGCAGCAACAACTACTGGTGGCCGGCGGCGGGGGCATGGACGGGCAGTCCGTCCGAGCGCCGCCCATCCTGCCGCACAAGCTGAGCGCCAACGAGGTGACCGCCGCGCGGCAGGTGATATCCGCGTACCGCGAGAGTGCCGCCTTCCTCCTCCGCACCGCCGACCAGGTGGAGCAGCTGCTCGTCCAGCAGCAGTAGGCGTGGCCCGGGGACCGAGCGGGGTTGTTCCTATTTTAAATTAAATTTAAAATGAATTACACACACACACACATGAGACACACACACAGACACACACAAGCCAAACTAAGCGAAAATAGTCAAACCATATAGCGCAAAAGCAGAGACGGGGTTAAACTGGCTCACTGGATGCAGGGCAGAACCATATGTAGTTAAAGAAGTTCGTTCAAACAAAACATTTCAAGTGTTTTTTCCTCCAACTACGTACAGCATATTTAAAATAGAACTTAACGATAAACAAAAACCAAATGAAATATCAAATATCACAACAGTAAAATAGTAGAGCTGCTACAGTTAGCTGACTTGGTTCTAGCCTAAATTCCAAATACATACTTCTTTGAAGCCTACGATTTCGGTTTCCATAGGCATTAAAAAGTATCCACTCTTCGGATGGTTTCAATGGATTCTTCCGAACTCTTCAGTGTACTTTTCTTCAAACTAATTCCTTGAAAAAAGATCGGCTTTAGATACAATTCAGATAGCAAGGCGGCTCTAGTAAAAAATAAAACCAAGCAGCAGTTCAACGTACTACAGTGTCTACTAAAAGTAAACCTACAATAGCCATACATACAAACACTCGCATTGATTTTGTTTCAACTTTTTATTATCGCATATTTTTGGACTCTCGTCCTTTGGAGAGCCGCAGATTCCGGGCCCGATTTTAATGTGCGCGATTTGTTAAAAAAATTTTAAATATAATAAATAAGTTGAAGTATTGTTGTAAATTTTAAGAAAAATGGATAAAACGACAAAAAAAATGAGAAAAAAATCGTAAAACTATGAGAAAACACAGGGTGATACTTTGAAAAATTATTACAATGCATAAGCTAAAAATTAATAAAAGAAAATGTAAAAAAAATTTATGGAAATGAAGTAAGGCATAGATGTTGGTAAATGTGTATTTAAAGTTTAGAAATTACATTTGTATACTGTTTCCAGGATTTATTGTTCTTGATTACTATCAATTGAGTTTGTTTCTTATCTCATTTCCGTTTTATTAAGTGTATATAATTTTAAAGTTTTTATTCTGAGACGTTTTAGGTTTAACTGTTGCTTTTTACTCACATTCGATTATTAAATAGATACGGAATAAAATATTTAAATACGAAATAGCCATTCATGTTTTTTGCAAATATAAATGTGCATGTAAAAATAAGAAAACACTTACACAAACACAAAAAAACACATGGAACATCGGTATGTATGAGTGTGCAGAACGACATGGAGATCCGCTATGCAAGGCAAATTATAGAATTTAATTATATAAATTAATTGCTAAAATTATTTAACCACAAATAATTATTGACTAAACCTAAATAAATACTCCAAACGAACTTGATAAATGGCTTGTAAGCAGGAGAAATATTTATACGGAATACTTAAATATAATGTAATGTGTGGCATTTGCATTGAAGAGTAAACTAATTAAACTAACACGGGGGCAACACAAATGAAACAAGACATTTTAAAAATCGAATTAATAAAGAATTTATGAGAATTATATGTACATTAAAAACGCTTGAATTTTCATTGGGGATAATTTCGGTTTACATTTCATTCTAATTGCCAGTAAATGTCTTTTGTTTGCATAATTTTGATAAAGCTAAAAAATTCCATATTTTTGAATCAAGGCGCCAAGTGTTCTTCCTCTTACACGATTTCTAACAGAAATGTTAAGAAATAACAGTGCTGTTATAAAACGTGCAAGTGCTTCAGTCGACTTCCGCAAGAGGTCGCTAGTATGAATAAATTTAATTTCTATAATTTATAAAACATGGCTTGGGTCTAGGCTTTGTCATGACCAAGAGTAGCGCTACCGTCCGCTAGGTGTCGACACGCTTGAATTCGCTGTCTATACCGGAATTCCCCTTTATGTAAATTACATTACGGAAGCGACATCTATGACTTTTTAAATTGTACTCAAATATAGGTGGCGAACAGAATCTTTCAAAAGCATTATTTTTTTTCAGACAGTTTTTATACCCGTTACTCGTAGAGTAAAAGGGTATACTATATTCGTCGGAAAGTATGTAACAGGCAGAAGGAAGCGTTTCCGACCCCATAAAGTATATATATTCTTGATCAGGATCACTAGCCGAGTCGATCTAGCCATGTCCGTCTGTCCGTCTGTCCGGATGAACGCTGAGATCTCGGAAACTATGAGAGCTAGGCTATTGAGATTTGGCGTACAGATTCCTGAGCTTCTTACGCAGCGCAAGTTTGTTTCAGTAGACTGCCACGCCCACTCTAACGCCCACAAACCGCCCAAAACTGTAACTCCTACAGTTTTGATGCTAGATAGAAAATTTTAACTGAAATGTATTGTTCTTATCAATACCTATCGATTGATCCAAAAATAAATTTGCCACGCCCACTCTAACGCCCATAACGCTTAAATCTGTCTACCGCCGGTAGGTGGCGCATTTTAATCTCGCTTTGCTGCTTGCATATCTCCATTTCCCTTTGAGTAACGGGTATCTGATAGTCGAGGTACTCGACTATAGCGTTCTTCCTTGTTATATCTGTTACTCTTGGAGCACACTTGTTGTAATCGTGGAAAAGTATTGAACACGTAGAAGGAATCGTTTCCACCTGATAAAGTATATAAACCAGTGGTCGGCAGCGGCCTATCTAGTGAGCATAGGGAAGTGTTCTGCCCATCCTCTGCCCGCTCACGTATAACGTACATGTTCGTGTGACTTCGGCATGGGTCTTCGGGTCATTTTTTTCTCAACTTCGGCGCGCTTTTTTGTTGCTGCGGCAGAGAAACGTCTCGCTTCAGCACGCCGCGCGCAAACTTCGTGTTTGTTACACTCACACTAATGCAAGGCAAACTTGTGATGGTATGTGTGTGCCGACCACTGATATAAACTCTTGATCAGAATCACAAGGAGAGTAAATCTAGTCATGTCCGTCTGTCCGTTTAAACATTATGATCTGGGAAACTATACGACCTAGAGAGTTGGTATTTCTGATTTAGATTCCTCAGCTTCGTAAAAAGCGTAAGTTTGTAACGCGAATGTGCCATGCTCATTCCAACGACCACAAACTCCTCAAAACTGTGGCTCCTACTGTCTGAGTGCTAGGAAAAATATTAACTGAAATGCATTGCTCTCGTCAGTACCTATCATTATCTCTATCTCCATGTTCCTTGCCTTTTAGCTGAGTAACGGGTATATGTTAGTCGTAACAGAAGACTACAGTCTTCTCTTTTGTTTTTAAATTGGTAAATTAAAAATACAAAAAAATTGAAATTATTAGCAGAATCATAGAACTTATTTTATATTGAAGAATATAGATTATTACGGTTGAAAATGTGCTAACCTATTTTCCGAAAAAATTTGCGAAGGGACGTGGTAAAGGTGGAAGGCGAGGAAATGGTGGAAGCGGAGGAAGGGGCGGTACAGGTAATATAGCAATCACTGCTGCATTAGAATTAGGCAAGGATCCGAGAAACGGAAATGGCGGTAACGGTATCCGAGGTGGAAAGGGAAACATTGGGGCCCTAGGAGCGATAGTGGTTGTTGTCGGAGTGGTAGTCGTTGTTGTAGGAGCGGTAGTGCTTGTTGTAGTATCGGTAGTGGTTGTTGTTGCTAAAGTAGTGCTTGTTCCGGTGGTCGTAGTAGCGACAGTGGTTGTTGTTACTCCTTCAGTGGTCGTAGGAGCTAAAGTCGCTGTTGGAGCGACAGTGGATGTTATTGCTAAAGTAGTGTTTATTCCTTCGGTTGTTATAGGAACGATTGTGGTTGTGTTCAATTCTTCTGTACTCGTAGGTGCTAACGTGGTTGCAGAAATATCCTCAGTGGTTGTAGGTGCGTTTGTGGTTGTTGTTATTTCATCGGTGGTTGTAGGAGCGACAGTGGTTGTTGTTGCTAAAGTAGTGTTTATTTCTTCGGTGGTTGTAGGATCGATTGTGGTTGTAGTCAATTCTTCTGTACTCGTAGGTGCTAACGTGGTTGTAGTAATTTCTTCAGTGGTTGTAGGGGCGTTTGTGGTTGTTGTTATTTCATCGGTGGTTGTAGGAGCGACCGTGGTTGCTGTTGCTAAAGTAGTGTTTAATCCCTCGGTGGTTGTAGGATCGATTGTGGTTGTAGTCAATTCTTCTGTACTCGTAGGTGCTAACGTGGTTGTAGTAATTTTCTCAGTGGTTGTAGGGGCGTTTGTGGTTGTTGTTATTTCATCGGTGGTTGTAGGAGCGACAGTGGTTGTTGTTGCTGAAGTAGTGTTTATTCCTTCGGTTGTTATAGGAACGATTGTGGTTGTAGTCAATTCTTCTGTACTCGTAGGTGCTAACGTGGTTGTAGTAATTTCCTCAGTGGTTGTAGGGGCGTTTGTGGTTGTTGTTATTTCATCGGTGGTTGTAAAAGCAACAGTGGTTGTTGTTGCTAAAGTAGTGTTTATTTCTTCGGTGGTTGTAGGATCGATTGTGGTTGTAGTCAATTCTTCTGTACTCGTAGGTGCTAACGTGGTTGTAGTAATTTCCTCAGTGGTTGTAGGGGCGTTTGTGGTTGTTGTTATTTCATCGGTGGTTGTAGGAGCGACCGTGGTTGTTGTTGCTAAAGTAGTGTTTAATCCCTCGGTGGTTGTAGGATCGATTGTGGTTGTAGTCAATTCTTCTGTACTCGTAGGTGCTAACGTGGTTGTAGTAATTTCCTCAGTGGTTGTAGGGGCGTTTGTGGTTGTTGTTATTTCATCGGTGGTTGTAGGAGCGACAGTGGTTGTTGTTGCTGAAGTAGTGTTTATTCCTTCGGTGGTTGTAGGAACGATTGTGGTTGTAGTCAATTCTTCTGTACTCGTAGGTGCTAACGTGGTTGTAGTAATTTCCTCAGTGGTTGTAGGGGCGTTTGTGGTTGTTGTTATTTCATCGGTGGTTGTAGAAGCGACAGTGGTTGTTGTTGCTAAAGTAGTGTTTATTCCTTCGGTGGTTGTAGGAACGATTGTGGTTGTAGTCAATTCTTCTGTACCCGTAGGTGCTAACGTGGTTGTAGTAATTTCCTCAGTGGTTGTAGGGGCGTTTGTGGTTGTTGTTATTTCATCGGTGGTTGTAAAAGCAACAGTGGTTGTTGTTGCTAAAGTAGTTTTTATTCCTTCGGTGGTTGTAGGAACAATTGTGGTTGTGTTCAGTTCTTCTGTACTCGTAGGTGCTAACGTGGTTGTAGAAATTTCCTCATTGGTTGTAGGGGCCATTGTGGTTGTTGTTATTTCATCGGTGGTTGTTGGAGCGACAGTGGTTGTTGTTGCTAAAGTAGGGTTTTCTCCTTCGGTAGATGTAGGAGCTATAGTGGTTGTTGTTAATCCTTCGGCGGTCGTAGGAGCGATTGTGGCTGTGTTCAATTCTCCTGTATTCGTAGGTGCTAACGTGGTTGTAGCTATTTCTTCAGTGGCGGTAGGGGCGATTGTGGTTGTTGTTATTTCTTCGGTGGGTGTAGGAGCGACAGTGGTTGTTGTTGCCAAAGTAGTAATTACTTCGGTGGTTGTAGGTGCTATAGTGGTTGTGGATATTTCTTCGGTGGTCGTAGGAGCTAAGGTGGTCGACGTTTGAGCGATAGTGGTTGTTGTTGTTACAGTAGCGTTGATTCCTTGGATGGTTGTAGGAGCGATAGTGGTTGTTGTCAATCCTTCGGTGGTCGTAAGAGCGATTGTGGTTGTGCTCAATTCTTCTGTACTCGTAGGTGCTAACGTGGCTGTAGAGGCGATTTTGGTTGTTGTTATTTTTTCGGTGGTCTTAGGAGAAATAGTGGTTGTTGTTGCTAAAGTTGTACTTATTGCTGTGCTTGTAGGAGCGATAGTGGTTGTTCTTACTCCTTTGGTAGTCGTAGGTGCGATTGTGGTTGTGGTCAAAGTAGTAGTTGCTAGTTCTTTTGTGGTTGTTGTCAATTTTTCAGTAGTTGTCGTTAATTTATTCGTCGCTGTAGAGTTACATATTGGCAATTCTGGAAAAAGTATGCAACCAATGGGTTCGTGTGCTGCTGTGGTTTGAGTTGTAGAAGAGGTTATTGAAAGTGCAGTCCAAAGATAAGGGACCAATATTATGCGATTGATCTAAAATAATTAAAGCTTGTAATACATTTCCAAGTCATGCAGGGCCGATCTTACCATCTTGAATTCTTTGAAAACACTGAAACCTTGAAATTTGCGGCAACTATTTATATAAAACCTGCACTTCAGTTTTCTTTGTTGCTTCAAAGATAACCCAATGGAAAGCACTTCCACTCCACCCTTATCAAGTACGAGCTAATTGTAAAAGAAGTGCACCTAAAATAGTAGTAAGATAACGCCAAAAGGTAATTGCTTCGAGGCTTTGTTAGAAATTTGAAAATAAAAATAAATAACCCAAAATAATAATTTAGTCAAAGAAAACAAGGAAGAAATATTTAATTTTGCAATTTAAATACGGAAGTCAAATTTGTTCTTACCATCAGAAGAAATAAAACGAATATTAAATTATTCCTAACTATATTTTATTTATTTTTACAGAATTTTGTAAAATAATTTGCATTTGATTTAATGCCAAAAATAAATTATATGTGAACTTAGCATAGATCCCAATCAGATTCCACCTCTCTTGGTTTATTTTACACATTTTCTGCTCCTTTCTTAAATTGAACTATTTATAATGACTGTTTTATGAAGGCGAAAAAGAAACAATACAGAAAAGTATATGAAAGCACCGAATCGTTGCGTATATGTTTTATACTCGCACCAGTTCTATAATAGATTGTAATTTCTCAAGTCCAATCTAGGACTTTGGCAAGATTTCACTAACAATTTTGGATGTGGTTGATGAAACTCCTCCTCGCTTAAACTAAATCTTAAGGCTTAAACAAAAAACTGCTTGAAGAAGGGCCTCTGAGGGCCCCGGCAGCTCTAATCTCTTCACGCTAGGACTCCATCCAATGCATGAATCACTCCGTTGGTGGCTGGAATGTTCGATGTGACCATCTGGGCATCGTTCACCTTAATCTTGCCGGCGGATGTCTTCTGCAGGATCACGGTCTTGCCCGTGGACAGGGAGTCCTTGACCTGGTAGAAACGCATGCCGGCGGAGAAGAGAGCGCCGGGAACAATGTGCTTCATGGCAAACTGCTCGGCGGTCTCTTTGTCGTTGTAGAGCTTCTCCAGAGTGTCGGAATCCAGTTCGCTGAAGCTCTTGTCCACAGGAGCGAAAACTGTGTATGTCTTAACACCTGCAAAGTGCCATAGAATATTAATATGTTTTTATTTTATTAGAAAGTCATAATTTTTCGTACCCTTGCTCTGCAGCTTCTCGGAGAGCCCAGAAGTATACAGAATCTTGAGGAAATTGCTAAAGCGACCCTCGCGATCAGACTGTAGAGTTTGCAGAATATCTCCAACAGGCAGTGGGAACATGACGCGATCGACGGCGTGAGCCACTCCCTGCGGGATCTTGATGTCCTTCTTGTTCAGCACAACCATGGCTCCGTTGATGGTGGTGAGCTGTAAAGTATGTATAGAATTTAATTTTTTCCATTGGGAAACATGTCTGCAGCTTATCTTACAGTCACATCGTTCCATTCCTGGTCATGCATGTTGTACTGATTGACTCGCAGCTGAGTTCCGGCCAGGGATACGCCAGTCATCTCGTCCTGCAGGGTGGCAATTTCAAAGGCTCCGGGAATCACATGGTGGAGCAGCAGCTGGGGGAAAATTATCAATATAAAAATGTAAATATATTTAATGTTCTATAAAAGCAAATCCGCATTTTTCCTTTCTTTTAGGTGTTATTCTTTAATAATTTCGGATTAAAACTAATAATTGTTCTTATTGAAACTATATTTCAACTTCGTTTTCTTTAATTCATTTACTGGTTATAGTAGTGAAATCTCTACCACTAGTCTAAGTATATTTAAGTAACAACTTACCCCGCTCAGCAACCTGGGATTGGACTGGAATTTCTCCTCGGCCCTTTCTGGTCCGCCCAGCTGCACCAGAAGATTTTTGAAGGCCTTGTCCGTGGGCACGAATATGGTGTAGGGTCCAGTTTCGTTGAGAATGCTGTCCAGACCCGACTGCCTCAGATACTTGGCCATGGCGAAGAGACCGTTGGACTTAAGGATCTGAAGAAGGTCCTCGCTGGGATTGGAGAGTACAGAACCTGTTGAAGGACTGGCCTGAGCCGCCTTCTCAGTGTTCTCCGTCTCTTGGACGAGGGCATCGGCATATTGGGGTAAGGGTGGCAGCAGCTCAGAGTTGCTGACCACATCGGACAGCCTCTCGGTGACCACTGGCAGATGGGTGGACACACCTTCTAGATATGGAGAAACCGACACCGTAGAGCCACCGTAAATGGGAGCTGGCGTGGTGCGGATCAGACTAGCCACATTTCCGAGGCTGGTGCTGCTCTCGTAAACCAAATTGTGACGGGCCGTGGTGGGGGCGTTGGTTGTGGTGGTTGTTGTCGAGGTCCTCGATGGGTGGTACTGTCGGTGGTTGCTCGGAGTTCCGCGGGATACAAAAGGTGTGGGTGTTGTAGTCGTCGTGGTTGTTGTTGTGGTGCTCGTGGAAGTTGTGGTTGGTGCACGTGTGGTCTGGATGATTTTGCCACTCTTGATCTCCACCAACTCATCGTTGGGCAAGGTCAGGCGGGAAACAGAGGGCGGCAGCTTAATCTCTCCGCTCCTGATGCGCTCCAGAATGCTTTCCACCTCGGAACCGGTTTGTTTGGTCTCCTTCTCTCCATTGGCCTTGACTCCCTGGATCTTGAAGCTGCCATCGGTCTGCTCCTCGAGATACACATAGGTGGCCTTCTTCTTGGGCGGCAGAGTTGGTGGTGGTGCGGCCGTGGCCGGAGCCTCAGACTTCGAGCTCAGTCCCTCGATCTCGTAGCCATCGGGGATGAGTCCCCGCTTGGCCAGCTCCTCCAGGGACGGTGGGTCATCCGAATCCGAGGTTATGACTGCTGAACTAGCAATGCTGTTTGCTCCACTACTGATGCCCTGGATATCACCGGCACCACCGCCATAGAGGGCGGCCAAACTGGACAGATCCACTCCGCCCGGCAGGGATCCAGAGGGCAGGGTGTCCGACTCCTGGGGATCGGGTGAACGCAGAATCTGCACCTTTCCTCCGCCAGGCAGCTCGAGATCCTTGCTCTTGCTGGGCGCCACATCACTCAAACTGAGCTTGGCATCGCCACCCAAAGCCTGTTGGGCCAACAGTGTTTGCAATTGCTCCTGCGAGTACGCCTTCTGTCCCTGAACCAAGTTGGGATCCGTGGTGCGAATGACCTGAACCCTCTGGCCATTGGGCAGTACCAAGTCCATCTCATCGTAGGTTTTGTTACCGGTGAGTGGTTGTTGTGGCGCCTCCGACAAAGCGGCCTTCAGTTGCTTGAGCAGATCATCGCGGGCAATGGTCTTCACCGGTTTCTTACCCTTTGCACTCGGATATTTTCCTAGTTCCGATTTCACCTGAGCGTATATATTCTTCTTTGGCGTCGTGGTGGCCTCAGTAGTTGTGGTTGTTGTCGTGGTGGTTGTTGTCGTTGTCGGATGCTCCTTGTAGTACTGTTGTAGGGCACTGCTGAACTGATTGTACTCCGTGGGATGGGCCACGGGTCTTCCGCGAGCCGGTGCCGCAATGTAGGGAGAGTTCTGGTAGTTTCCATTATGCTGGGTTACGATGGTTGGCAGGATGTGTTGCTTGATCTGGTGCTGTTTGAGCAGGAACTCCTCGTGCTGCTGTCGCACCTTGTTTTGCGATTTTTCGTACTGTTTGGCCACGAATTGCTCATGCTTCTGGATCAATTTTTGCTTGTACTCCTGGTCAGCTGGTTGGGCCTGAGGTTGAACTGAAGAAGGAGCATTAACGAATTGGTGCTGGAACTGGGGAGGTTGTGGCTGCTGCGGCTGCTGCTGCTGGAAGGTTCCCCTGGTGGGTTCAGGGAATGGTGTGGCCTGCACATTGCTGAAGATTTGCGGCACTGGTAGACCCAACTGGGGAGTCAGCTGATATTGCTGCTGGTTGGGCTGTGGCTGGTAGTTAAACTGGCTCTGCTGCTGGGGAATCGTCTGGAATGTGGGCACTGGCGCCTGGCTGGGCAGCTTCTGTAGGAGGCCAGTCGTAGGCTGTAGGGGGGAAAAAGGCGTCTTGTTAAATAACTGATAAATATAGAAGCTCTAAGTAAACATCATATTTTAACATATTTAGAAAACTGCAAACTAACGTTTAAAGTTAAGTGCTTACATTCCTGGTTAATACTGCAGTAAAAGACCACAAACTCGGCTTTGCAGCCCTTAAACTTGTACATTTATATATTTACCCCCTAACGCTCAATACTACAGAAGTCACCTATGTTTTCATACCTTTTTCTGGGACAGAACTTGGTGTCCGAATTGCTGGGGTTGCTGGAAGCCAAACTGTTGCTGCTGCTGCTGCTGCAATTGCTGTTGCTGGTAGGTTTCCGCTGATGGTTGAGGAGGGAAAGCCGTGGACTGCAGACGGGAATCTGAGATATATAAAAGAGGGGGTTATAGGTTTAAGATCATGAAAGATCGCGAGTTCTGCGTACCGAATTGCTGGTGGCGTTGCTGCTGGGGATGTTGCTGCTGCTGATGTTGATGCTGTGGCTGTTGCTGCTGGGAGCCGGCAAAGTTACGCAAGTCCAAGAAGTTTTGATGATGAAGATCTAAGCCAGCGGCGGACGGGGACAATTGCTGTTGCTGCTGGGGGAATTGTGGTGCGGTCTGCAGTTGGTTTTGGGTCGAACGTTGGAACTGTTGATTGCTGTGGGGCTGATGTTGCTGCTGCTGAGGCTGATGTTGCTGCTGCTGCAGTTGCTGTTGCTGCTGTGAAAACTGTCCGAAGCGATGTTGCTGCGGCGGCTGCTGGTGATGCAGATGCTGACCATGTTGGGCGCGGTGGGGAATGGGCAGCTCCACGCCCGCCTGGACAAAGTTTTGCTGATTGTACTGTTGCAGATTCAACTGACGGCGCTGGGAGTTGTGAAAGGGCGGCTGCAATGAGGGCAACAAGTGAGTTACAACTTTCCATGCCGTTCGTTGCATCATTCCCGGCCAGTGCAGAAAACCAGCTTTGGCTCGAGATCCCTCGACAGTTAAAAGATAAGTCAAACACTG